ACATGAAATGGGAATGCATTTGCTACTTCCAGTTTACTTCGCTGATCAAAACCTACGGCTGTAGTCGGTTCACGAGTCCTAAATGGACGATATCCTGATGATGAATCAGTTAACTGTCTGGTGGGATTCGGTGGAAGAACAGCAGCGTTAAAGGTCGGCTTAAGCGGTGTTATCGGCCCAGCAGGAAGACTTGGAGGCAACTTATCGAAAATATTTCCCTTCGGAAGAACATTGGTCATCGAATTTCCTGCAGAATGACCCCGGCGTCTCCTTGATGTGCCCGAGTTATCCGAATTAAGACGACGCGATATCGGCTTGTTGTCTTCCAACAAATTCTTAGCTGCTGGGCCTTTGATATCTCGCGGTTCACTACCTTGTGCCTTTGTCTGGGAACTGCCAGAACATGGTTTATGTCAGTGGCGTGCAAAAATGGTGTTGAAATTGAGAAGCGAGTGGAATATTCTCGGGCCAACAGACTTCATATTTGACATCTCGCTCTTTGTCACCTTGTTAGAATTGCCGGAGTTCTTCGCCTGCTTGCCTTTACTATTCTTTTTCCCAAAGCCGTTTGCGCTCTTAACTTGTCCAACTCGCTCACCAACTTTAGTTTTGTTTGAATCTGCAACAGATTGCTTTGCGAAGGGTGGTTGTCTTTCAGGTTGGTCGGATCGAGATTGTGGCTTCTTATTGCCCGCTCCTTGAATAAGGGTATTGTTACTTCGGCTCTCTTGAATGTTAGTTGCATTCGTCGCTCTGACTGAGAGTGATTCTGAAGTACTAGTGTTCGAGAGTTTTGGAACCTCAGCTTGATACTCAGTGACAGAGTTCGTCAAGGAAAGTTCTAAAGGTTGGAACACTGTGTCAATGACGAATGGAGCTTCTTCTCCTTGCAAACTTGATTCGGGTATCGACTGTAGTAGCTCTTCGTTCAGACCTGATGCTTCCAAGCGGGTCGAGCTCGACCGGGGAGCCATTGTGGTTTCCATCTCTAGGGATGTCGGAGATGAAACATCTTGGGGGTCGCCAGGGAATATGGGTGTGTTTCTGAGCAAAGAGTCGACGGAATCCGAGTCATCTATAGCTAGAGAAGCTGGAGAGCCTGGGTTGGTCGGTGAAGGAGCGGGCACCTCTTGATCGTTAGAGTCAGTGGTCTTCGTCATGCTGAAGCCGCGTATGGTGCCCATCTTCCGTCTATGCTCCCCCAGGATACCGGTAGGGGTCGGGGTCGGGCGAAGAGACGAAGGAGTACAGTGGAGGTGCTGAGGCTTACGGTTTTCCTTTGGAGTATCTGCGATTAAATGTACATGGCGAGGGGGTTGATTGTGTGGTTGTGGCACGCACCCGGGTTTGTTAGCCCTCTCAGCAAGCTCAGCAGCAGCAAACGAATGACCATATAGATCATTGTCGTCCAAGGGCAGCATCAACCGTCTGGACCCAGGAGTTGTCATCGACTGCATCCGCCTCCTTACTGGATTCACGGAAGGTGTGCCGTATGCAAATGGTGGCAGTTGAAGACCCGGAGGGAAGGGCATAGTACTGCTGGACTGCCTTCCATGTGTTCCTATTTGATGTATTCCATCCGAAGGGGGCCCTCTCGGACCATCGATATTAGAAACCTCCCTTATAAAGACGCCTTCTTGGGCAGACTGTGAGCGCAACGAAGCTCTTTCGTCGGCGTTCATGGCCCTTATTATATCCTCTGGGGTCAGAGTGTGACGGTGTCGATGAATTTTAGATAGTTGCATGTTGGGCTGTATTCTCTATGGCTCTAACGCAGAGTGGCAATAGGTTTGGATTTCTTCGGAGTTTTTCGTGTTAAAAAACTTCCTATTGAATCTTTGTCGTCCTTATCCTCTTCTTAAGACTATATTCTATTTCAGTATGTTATTTCCCAATTTTTCTCGGTGCTGGTGTATGGTACACTCACAAGAATTATTGAATTTTGATAGTTACGAGATAGCTGTCAACGATGAAGCCGAAATGATTTAGTTCAAGAGATGGTGATGAAACTCCGTTACCTTCCCCAGAGCGAGTTATTTCAAAGTGACTTTGACGTTCTTGGAGATGAGATAACCTCTTGCCCTGGCGCTGTTGGGTCAGAGTGCCAGAGGATCTCACATTACTCAAAGATACAGAGCTTCCTCACTTTAGGTTCATAGCTGTTACAGAAGATCATAAACTTAGGGAGTTTATGTTGGTCCTTCAATGAAATTTTCCGGTAGCTTTAAAACATGGCTCTACTTGATACATATCATAGCATGAGATATCTTGAAGATTGTAAGAGCAAAGATCTTTCATCACATGATCATCTGTATATATCAATCATAGTCGCGGTTGTGCGACCAATAGCTCAATCATTCAATCATGGATTTGAATTTCATGATTCAAACAGTGTATGTAAGCACTATGGTGATCAATGCGCATAGTAGTATTTGAGCTTTAGTCGGATATAAATACTACTAGTGTATATTAAAATCCAGTATATTCATGCTACTCGAAAGGGTGCACTAGAGACCTCACAACCAGGCTGCTATACCATGCTACAGCAAATTATTTGCTCTCTCTTTCCGACCAGGAGCCTAATTGTCAACATATGCAAAGCTATGATTCTAGCAGACAAATATTCCAAGACTTCCATTGATGCATGGGACATTAGTTATTGTTGAATATTTAGAATGCAACAATACAAGGTCCAAACTTAGCCTCGAGACCAGGAGCTGGCTACTTGGAAAATGTATGTCGTGTAGCACAGTTAACTGCAGCTAAATGCACACGCAGCTGTACAGTCCAAGGGAGAAATCTCCGATTCATCTTGCCAATGTAACGCTCATCGATGCGGATGTTAAGTTAACGACCAAATTGACATGGGAATGTGAAATTTTTGCCGACATGCGTATTCTCATTATACTCAGAGATATAAATAACCAACTGCCTAACTATGACGCATCATGCATGACAGCTAAACAAAAAACATAGAAATATAAGGCGAGATGAGAACGGAGATCCACTGCAAGGCACGCGGAAAATTCCACAATAGATTCGCGTTGTACATACATGGTGGACAGACACGTCGAGCATAGCCTCTCTAACCTCAAAGCACGCGTGCTCACGCATTGATCAGCTGCTGCAAATTTCACACCGACATCGTCATGCAGAGCGGCATGAACACTCCGTCGTTTGGTGCATTCTAAGATAGACGGATAGCAAGATCCCGCTTCTTGATTGTAAATCAGCGGGGTGATAGGGCAAGGCTTCGACTACCACCCGCCTCTTTTCGGCCAACACACTTTTGCCTCGTGTTCATAACTCCTTTCGTCTTTGCTAGCAATCGCTGGCCGGCCGTGTGATCTCCACAGCGTCTGCCACTGTGGCACGGAGACATCCACATCAAGCCCCGATCGCAAACGGTTCTAGATTTACTAGCCTTCGAGCTTAAACTTCTGCGACGACCGCCCTCCTAAAGCGTCTGTAGACGTGCAGATGCCTAGATGGCTTCATCTTAGTGCTACATGCCGGCGTCGATGGCTGGAGGTACAAGCTCACTTGTACACGACGGATATGGCTCGCGCCAGAGGGAATGGCTGCGCTCCGGCCGTGATTTGGCGGCCCTTAACATATCGACCATCAAAGTTTACTATGCTCCCAAAAACCATAACAACGGCAAGGGTCCCGCAGATCAGCCGTGAAAAGACGACGGGTCTAGACTTCATACGGAGTGCCGGCGCCGTAGCGTCGCAAAAGGGTCCATCGCGTCGCGGAAACTTGAAGAATCAAGGTCGCAAGTGCCCACATGCCCTATATCTTCCCCTCCGTGCGAAAGAATCTGATGTACCGCCGTTGGTAATCGGATATATCATCACCATTGCACACCGAAGAAATCCATTTGGGACCGGCACTTTGATACACGTTTAACGCCCCAGATGGCCCTGGCACCGCCACATGCATATAACGGTCTGTGAATCTAATCGAAAAACGTGTATCGCTGCGCAAATATGCAGGGACTAAACAATCACATCCCGCTCTCAGCAAGCCTCTTGAGTAGATTTTTTACCCCTCCCAGAAAGCTCCTACCATATGACCGCTCATGAAACTGACTATCACAGCCAGCTGCATGGGCATCTAGACCCAGCCATGATAAGATGTATCGATACATCCCACCGTGGAGGAACCCTTGCAGCAGTTCAATAGTTTCTAGCATAGCGTGAAAATCATCTCTAGCTCCAGAGGCGGCCCCAGAAGATGCAACAGTTCGGCCCCAAACCCACGGAGAGCGACGATGGACTGTTCGTGACTTCGGTCGTTTTGGACTGTATGTCACACTTCTGACGAAATGTCGATTACACCAAGCCATCCAGAAATATCAATTGCTCATACCCAATCGCTTTTAGATGCCTCCTTCCATTCAAGGCCTTTGCCCTATACATTTCCTCTTTGACTTTAGTATATCTTGGATCGACGCAAGGGATCCCGAATGCCGTGATGCGTGCATTTGCGATAAGCACGCCCCGAAAATTCGAATATTCAAATTCGCCTCCGGCTCGAGTCCTAGCAAATGTAAATCTTCTCGCAGGTTCTGGGCTGCACGGACACATCTTTGATTACAAAAATCAAGGAAAGAAAAAACCTTATTTGAATGGGATATACATAGTCTCGGGGCTATAGAAAGTACCTTAGAGGGTCGTTATTGGCAGGGTCGAGGGCTGTTTGAAGGGATGTAATAGGCGTTGTGTATATGTGCCGAGACAGTCTGTATATCACCAAGTTGGAGTGGTCTGATACTGAACAATCCAAAACCAATCAATCGGTGGAACAGGGATAGGCATGCTAAAGACGTGCCGAGACTGGCCAAAGACAGTGCTGTTGCGGAGAGCCTCGACTCAACACATTTGCAAGCTCTGCGGGCATTCTCCATCATGATCATCTCGCCAATCTGACCCAAGAAGGCGATCAAATGCCAAACGTATTATAATGAGCAAATGTACAGTCAGACGTCATCAAATGGGGACATGGCGCAGTGGTAGCGCGTCTGCTTTGCATGCTCACTTCGGTGAACATCGATGTGCAGAAGGTCTGGGGTTCGAAACCCCATGTCTCCACTTGACTTTTTGACTTTTTTGCTCAAATCATTCTTCTTACTTTGACCAATTTCGAGTATCCTTTTTTCTTCCCTTCTACGCTAGCCTGCATTCAAGAGAGGCTTCGGATGTAAACTTTTGTTTGGGTTTTGGGCTGCGCCGTTTTTGCTGTTCCTCGCGTTTTTCGTGTTAAGCTCCGTCGAACGAAGGCACAATAATAACCCATGATATCGAAACGTCAAGATCCAGGATACTTCCACCGTAATATAACTGTAATATATGCATTCGCAAAAATAGGTACATGATGGACACGTGTATCCTCTTCGTATCGAAATAACCTCATGGGTTTCTGAGAATGGCATTGATAGCTACAATATTATATAACCCACTTGTATCAAGCAAAATTTTTAGTGATCGTATATTTGTTTCTCCGGTACTCAATCAATTATATGATAAATGAGGGGCAGAATAAGAAGAAGAGACAAAATACTATACAGTATGTCTAGGTAAAGAGGGTCTGGACCCAAGTTAATTCAATATTTGAGAAGTTAATTCCACGAGTGAAAGTAACTCTAATATGTAACTCTTTGTATATATATATGTGTGTGTAGATTGCATATCCACAAAACAGGATTCATGAGCAAGCTAATCTGCAAATAGTATACCGACATTCATTTGTCCGGACGTCCGATATTATTCATCTAGGAAGCCAACAGGGTTTCTGCTTACTCGTCTCAGTTGACATGAGGGGCACATTATATGATGCCCACTTTTTGTACCTCTAAATATCACTGTGCCGCAAAAGTATCAACAGTTATATCATATCGGCTCAGACTTTGGATGGATTCCGATAGGATGATCCTTGTTGGATATTTGAAGTTGATTGATTCGCGTTTGAACGGGGAGAAGTTAATTAAGCAAAGGAGGATCCCGGTTAGCGAACGGATACGGAGAAGGGGCAACGAAAGCAAGGGAAAAAACCGAGTACCGTCTTGGAGGAAAAAAAGTCCAGACTGGAGGGGACAGGTGGGGCTTTGCCGGGGGAGGTGCTATACCAGCAAATCTTATGGAAACGAGAAATACGCCAGGCCAGGGTCGACATTAGCTAAAAGGTCTCGTCCATGAGAGGGTCCCACTATAACAATATGTCATAAATTTGAATAACTGATGTGTTGTAGGGATGTTGCAATTAGAGAGGTTCCTTTCGTATATATTGGACTGTATTATAGTACACTCCAGTGGGATCGCACAGTCTCGGCCTGAAACAGGTAGCTCACTGCTGTTCTTTCTTTGTAAGTGTGAATAAGACCGGCAAGTGGATATTTCACCGGCGCCATTTGAATGGCTGCATGTACAATGTAGCGTACCGGCAACGTTTTGCTGCTGTGATACCTTTCAAAGATCAGCCTACTGCATGGCGTCCAAATTTGCGATTCCAATTCCACTTTAGCTTTCCAAATCAAAGTACGTATTGCAAAAACACCGCATGTACCATTGCGCTGTAGATTGTGGCTTTCCTTTACAATGCATTGATGAGATGGCATTCACGAAGGTTCTGGCCTAATCCCAAAGGAAGAACGGCAACGGCGGCGATAGTAACACTAAGGAAACGGTCCTCATAAGACTTCTCCCTGACACTACGCTTCTACCAAGCCTAATCGATGACATATCTCATCTAACCTGCAGGAATCCAAGGCTTCGACTTGCCTATCTCGCATCCGGGAGGCTTCTTTCGGCACCGAAGCCTGTGAGGTGGAAATCGCGCCCTTGATCCTGATTTCCACATCTCATTCATGTAGTGCTTTCGAACGGTTTTCGCGTATCTGCCCTTGTCCAACACACAGGTGGAAGGGGGCAATGCGCCCAGCAGCCAAGCCAGGCATATTCCCAAAACCCATTGGCTCGGGAAGAGGGTGCGAAATGCTTTCTTAGTGCGCTGCGAGGTTTTGCTTCTTGACGGTTTTCTGAGATTGCAGCATACTGATGAAGGTGAAGCAGCTGCGGAGTGAGGCGTTCTTGGTTGAAGCTTGCTCGGAATTGGGGGTTACAAAAAACGCCATGGCCAGCTGCTCCGTGGATAAACACCAAGGCCGGCTATCAGCTTCGGCGACCAAGTCCCAACCGGCGCTGGCGCTGACAACCGATAAACGAGAAATGTGATACCCAAATTGAGGGCCGAGGTGACCACCGCCGTGCAGGATTCCGGTTGACAATCTATTAATCTATTTTGTCACGTTTTCTGTCGATAGATAATAATTTTGTAATGCGCTGCGGGTGGTGTCAATCCGCGGAGACTATTTGCCCTTCTTGGGAATCCAAACAGGTTCGAACGCGAACCCCCATAGTTTACGGCTTCTATCGGATCGCCTCAAAACCCTCTATCGATCAAATCAAAGTTTCAGACCTGCATGAAAAAGCAACCGGGCTGCCTCTCAGAATAACAAATTTTCGGTAACCAAATTTGTAAAGTCTTTTGGGATACAGCGGTGCAGCCTAGCCCTAAACCTCACATACAGAAAGCCAGCCGCATTTTGATTCCTTCGAGTCCGCGTCACTAGCTGTGGCGATAGCATTCTGAAATCAAAAAACTCGAAAAGAAATCCGGGCACGTTCGGTCTAGCGTAAGCTCTCTCGATGAAATCAAACCAAAGCATCGGCTTCAACGAACGGAGCCGTGGGTGAGCTGCCGTCCTGTGCTAGTCCACTGCAGGGGTTATTTGGAACCCTCGCGATTTCCGATTCGCTCTTAGAGTAATAGCAGACAGTCATTATGAAAGAGCTGGAATACTTGCTCAAGATGAGTTATCTGAGTGCTAGGAACCTCAGTTTAATTGGATGAGTTTGAACTAACGTTGACGGGGCAAGGTCTGTGGGTCAACGCCACTGTGAGGTTCGAAACCATTTTGGGAGTGGAAAGGTGTGAGTCGAGCTTTGGGCATACCCGAAGGTTTAGGCTTACTTGCGAGGCAAAATTTATATGACTTGAAAATGATGGTTCACGGAATTTCTAATGTGAAATATTCAATTATAGTATCTGTTTACAACAAAGGCAACTAATGGTAGAGAAAAACTGTGGAGAAGAGAAAAAGTGTAATATTGTTTTAGATAGAAAAGAATAAAAGCGCAAAAACCAAAGAAGTAAAATGGAACAAAGGCGCACTAAGAATTCATAGAAATGATTGCAAGAATTGAAAGAAGTGATGATGTTCACAAAGTTGAATTGAAGGTTTCGAAAACAGGTTCCTGGTTGCCCGCACATAGGCAATAGGTATAGAAAGGAAGAAAAACTCATGTCATGCGCTCCTGCACGAAGAATCGAATATACAAAGGGTTGAACAAATATTCACAGGAAGTTGAATTGAAAACGAAACCAAATAAAAGAAAGAAAAAGTGAAAAAAAAAAAAAAGTCTGTGAAATAAAACGATTTTTCAAAATATGCAGAAATGTCAAATTTTCCATGCCCAATACTCCAAAGGATTGGATTTGTAACGCCATGATAAAAAACGAGAAAGCAGTCTTTTACTCCGATTTGCAAAGCTAAAGTCAGATACCACCCAGAGTGTAAATCCCCAAAAAACTAAAAGAGGTACAAAAAATGTTGTTTAAAAGATGAGCCGTCATGTTCGATCGTGAGAGTGCATATTGTCATGATGTTCGTTAAAGGTTCACGAGATAGCAAACAATTTACTCATCGGACCTCTTTCTCTTCTTGCGAGACTTCTTGTCATCCGACGATCGGTCCTTGATGTCACCAGAAGCAGCGGCCAACGAATCAACAACAATGAAGGGCTGAGGCGATGGTACTTCTTCTTCTAGAGGACTGAATTGCGAGCCAAGAACTGGGACTTCGCCTTCAGTGAGGACGCCGAGGACAACAGCTCCAGTGCCGTGGATGCGGCTGTGCTGGGTGAGGTTATCACTTCGGGAGAACTTCTTTCCACACTCTCCACAAGAGAAAGGCTTGTCCTCAGTGTGAAGGGATCGGAAGTGTCGCTTCAGGTGCTCCTGTCGTCTGAATCGTCGGGTGCACAAGTGGCAGACAAAGGTCTTGGAAGGATCCTCAGTCAAAGACTGCTTGCGTCCACGTCGGATGACGTGGGGGCTGATTGGATGACCAACCATTGGCTTATCAGCGGATGGGGAAGATGGAGATGAGCTGGCAGCGCTGTCGATGGAACCAAACTTGAAAGATCGTAATCTTTGTTCCTCGGTCATGTCATCTTCGTCGTCATCAAGCTGGACCTTGGCAATCTTGCGCTTTGGTGTCCTGACTGGGGCAACAGAGCCTTGTCGGGAAGAAGAGCAAGACATAGGTGGGCTTGGGAGCTGCTCGTTCTCGGAATCATCCTCAAACTTCGCGCGCTTGTTGGAGAAAACAGACTCGGAAAAGTTCTGGATGAAGTCATCTTCGGAGTCGCCGAGATCGGATAGCTCCTCATTATAGTCACCGGCAACATATGGAGCGGCCTTGTTGGTAGACAATGGGAGAAAGGACTCAACACTGCCTCCAAAGAGGAACTGATCATCATCACCACTGAGTGATGGCATAGGTGGGAAGACAATGTCTGGCTTGACATCGGCTGGACCAGGAGACTGAATGGTAAGTTCTCGTGGATCGCAGAAGTCGGCCGACTCAGTGAAAGAGTCTTGAGAAGAACATGGAGAGAGAGCTGGGCAGTGCATGTCGTTTAGTGAGATTGAGGGTGGTGGGCTGGCATTAGACTTTAATATCGATGGAGCAATAAGTCCTGGAGCGGCAACAAGTCCGGCTGCATGCAGTTTGTTAGTATCAGATTATATTCTCCGATATCTAGAATATGATCTACTTACGTGAGAAGTAATCAGCTGGAGTTCCTGGAAGTTGAATGTCTGACAAAGAAACAGTAGCGATAACAGGCTCTTCCGAGGACCAGCCGTGGTTGCTGATTGGAGTAGGCATAGCATAAGGAATGGATGGAGTGCTAACGGCACTGTGTGTCAATGGAGGGGTGGCAGGATTGAATAGAAGATCCGTGGTCGC